CCCTCTCACTTCCAAATCAGCGACAACAACATAGAGTCGGTGCGGAAAGGCTGTTGGTCGCAGAACGTGGCCTACGGGGGGTCCGTCAGCACCAATTACAGCTCTCCCAGTGGCGCTTGGGGATTTCTCAACGGTTAATGCCTCATCTACATACCCTGTGTGATGGATCGCTCCCCTCTGGACTGACGGGTTTTCTCTCGCTTCCTCTCGGTGGGTTGTGGGGCGAAGAACCTCCCGGAATAAAGCATCTAGACCTATGATGTTGTTTTTTTCGGGGATAAGGAAGCTGTTTCTTATGGGTTTCCCGTTGCCTTCCGTGGGAGTATTCATATTGTGAAACTTGTCTCTACAAGGAATGCCAGCCACGGCTCAGGACTATTTCTATTCATCCCATAGAAGGGACCCAGAGAGGTGCTCCACTCTGGGTCGAAATGGACCTGGGAGCATCACACTCTGACCTCTGTTCTTCTCTTCATGTTAGCATACCCATCTTCCTTTAATTTACTCAGCTTGTCCAGTCTATTCTTCCATCAATAACCCCCGACAACCGGCTTCCACGTAACACATGTCCAATCAATTTCTTGGTTTTAAAAATAATTTCCATCAATTTCTCTCAACATTAACAGCACCTCTTCCTTTCTGTCCAACCTATTTTTTTCCGTCCTTCTCCAAACTATTTTTCAAAAGCCTCTATTCTCCGAATCATGTCTGCTTTCATGGTCCATGTTTCTGATCCATACAAGAGCACGCTTCAGATCACCGCTTTCATTATGTTGTACTGCACACTCTGACTCATATTCCTGTTTAACAGTTCTTTCCTTCTACTAAAAGCTGCCTTTGCCATTATAGTTCTTGCTCTAATTTCTGCATCACATTTGCCATCATCAGTTTTCCATGATCCCAGATAACGAAGGTTTACAACTTGCTCTGTTCTTTCACCATTAAGAGCGACATTCACCACATTGTCTAGATTTGACCTTAACCTTTGTCTACTTTACATAGATCTTCATTCCATGTTTCTGTGACGCCTCATTTACTCCGCTCATCATTATCTGTAATCCGTTCTTAGTTTTATCAACCATCTCTTGATCATCTGAAAATCTTTTATTAATTCTTCTCCAACATTCATTCCCAAGTTGACGTCATTTAATCTGCCATCGCCCTCTATGTATAGATTGAAAATGACATATATTCATATATATATATATATATATATATATATATATATATATATATATATATATATATATATATATATATATATATATACTATATAAAGAAAAAGAAAATGTGTGTGTAAGGAAATTGATAATAATGAGAATAATAATGAGAATAATAATAATTCTTCTTTGCCTTTCGGCGTGTTCCCTTGTTAGGGGTCGCCAAAGCGCGTTAACTCCCTCCACCTCCTTCCATTTGTGGTGTCTTCTACCACTCCCAACAGTAGCGTAGCTTCCGTCGTAGACCTATTGGGCCATAGCCACAGTGGCGGTCGTTTTTATCATGGGCCCCGACCGATCCAGTATGGTTTGGGGGTTTCCGCGCATCATGATTTGGCATGGCTTTACGCCGCTTGCCAGCTGTCGCAACCCTCTGCATTCATCCGGGCTTGGGACCGACACCAAATGATAGTGGAATCTATCACCCAGTGGCTGCATTAAGATAAAGATAAAAATAATGATGATAATAATAACAATAATATATATTAACTACACTAGTAACGATGATGATAATGACGATGATAATAATAGGAAAAATAAGTATAATACTACTACTACTAATAATAATAATGATAATGATAATAATACCTATATTAATAGTACTAATAATACTAATGCTAAAGAGGATGATGTGACAATAATGGCATGGAAACACCACTATGGGGCTGGACAGGCCGTCGACTTCCCAACTCAACAAGTTCAACGCATTGTGAGCTAAATGGACTTCTGGATATGTAACTTCACTGTCACGAACCAGAGACAAGGGCTTGATAGTATGTGACTCACAGTCTGCACTCCGCGCTCTCTCACCTGCCAGTCCTGCACGCCAGAAAGTTGCCACACAAATCCTCCGTCAACTGAATTTGCAGGTGGAGCAGTTTTTGTGGCTTCTCTCCCACGTAGGACTTCTCGCAAATGACAACGCTGATCGTCTCGCGAGGAACGCCTGCAGTTTGGATCCGCGTCCTGCTGGTGCAACTTCAGCATCGCTCCCGTGCTACAAGAAAAGATACGCCAAGCTGTGTTCTCTACTCGCCACCGTAGCAATGCTGAGAAGGCTACTAGTGTCATCACGTAATACTATGAATATTTTCTTTCTCTTCCACACAAGTACCGATGCAATGGTCTTATGGTTCACCGACATAATGTAGTGAGCGCTCGCCTTAAGCTCGGCACCGACGAGTGTGAGGAAAGGAGGCACGCCCCACAGTACTCCTTGTGCAAGTTGTGTGATTCTCCAAATGCTAACACTCTCCAACAGCCGTGGCGTTCTGCGCCTGCTTAATATCTCATAGACAGTCGGCGTTAGAAGCCAGTAAATATTTGCTAATGGACGACCATTTAGACAGAATTCTGACGCAACAGCCACACTTTGAAGGGTGCTAGATTTTATAAGCTTTGTGCATTTTTTTTTCTACTTTTTGATTCACAGTGTGATCTGTGTGTCACAAGTTCTTTGTAACTAGTTACAATTTGTATTAGGTCTGTCGCTCTATGAGGGTAATAAATTGATTAAAACAATTATCATTATTAATTATTATTAAAGATACTATCATTATTACTATAATTATTATTAAAGATATTATCATTATTACTATAATGATTATTATAATTATCATCTTCATCACGCCATCATCATTGTCATCATTATTTTTTGTTATTATTATCATTACTATTATTATTATTATTATTACAATTATCATCATTATTATTATATTATTATTATCATTATCATAATTATCATTATTATTAATTCTATTAGAAATATTCTTATTATCATTATGATTACCATTTAATATTATTATTATAATTTTCAGTATTATTTCCATATTTTTTATTATCATTATTATTTTTATAATTATTATTATTATTATTATTATTATCGTTATTGTAACTATCTTTATCATGATTATTTTTGCTATTATCACTGCTATTATTATTATCGTTATTATAACGATTATTATGATTATTTCTGTTATTATCACTGTTATTATTATTATTATTATTATTATTATTATTATTATTATGGTTATTATTATTATCCTTATCATTATCATCCTTAATATTTTTATTCTTATTATCATTATTGTAGCGGGGCGTAGACCAAGTAGATTTTCATATGTCTGGTTGAGTTCAGGCTCGACAGAGAATTAAAAAAAATAAAAAATATTCAGGAAACGATTCGTCTGCAGTGAACAGATGCAAGGTTCCAGGCCTACGGCTCGCTGCCACCACCCGATTAGTAGGTTCGGGAACCGTGTGTGTTGTGTATGGGGGTGTGAATGTTGTATAAGAGAAGGGTGGAAGGAAAATACAGAATGTGTGTGCTGAATGTTGGATGTCTAAGTGTGTATATGTGAAAAGGGAGCTAGCATAGGCTGAGCGTCTGCGTGGACGTGTGTGGAAGAAAAATGCAAGATCATAGAATTCTTCCTCTTCTCTTCGGTCTGAGTATCCGCCTACTGGAAGCGGGAACCCATGTATAGCAAAAGTTATGATTTATTATAGAATATCACCTTAATATATTCCGATTCACCTAGCCTTTTTACAGCCTTCCAGGGTTGCGAGATAGAGTAACCAGCAATGTGCTGTTTAGGAGACCAAGAACGTTTCAAGCATTCAGCCATGGTCAGAACCAGAACTTAAGAGGTCGCAAATGTCATTTGCTCTTTTGACTGGGAGTGAAAGCTCTACGGCGGTATGATATTTGTTGAGAAAGTGGCACTCACTAGGGAGGTCTACAAATAATTCAGTCACGAGAAAATAGATAAAGGGGTTTGCATCACCAATTTATCACAGCGGGGTAATGCACGTGAAAACTAACACCAGATGTACTTCAAAATAACTCACAAGCACATAAGCTGGCGTCCCAACTCCATAAGTATTTTTACCCAGTGTCAGCACGGAAACATACTGATTTCTAATTGTTAAACATGATAAAAAAAATAACACCAAAAGGGCATAGATCACGAAGACTGCCTGAGCACCCACAAGGTCAGGCAGAAATCAATCAAGACAAAAGGCAAAGATAAAGTAAAATGGTTCTGAAAAAATGGCGAGATCTTTCTCCCCGGAGGTACGAATCCTCAGGCTGAGAAGAGAAAACTAAGTGATAACTCAGTTTAAAACTTTAAATGGCACACTGGAGGTACGGATCCTCAAGCAGTGTCCCTTCTATGTGAAGTGGTCCTTTTATGCTCTGACACTTTGATATCACTTTGTGATATTGTGAAAGAGAGTGCACCCTGCAGATGGTAATGCAGCATGTCACACACCAAAGTCCAAAAGAGACCAGGTGTCTCCTACTCACAGCCATAAAATAATATTTAACTTTGCGGAGACACGAATTCATCAATCCTGGCGCGAAGCGAGGTAAATTCACAACTTTTTTCCCCTCCCCAAAACCATGGGTACTTATACCCGAAAGGGACCCCCAGGCCATGCCCTAAACATGACGCGGAAAGAGGATAAGTGTCGGAAGACCAACCCAATTGTTCGGTAATCCAAACAAGCCAAAGGACCTGAACAACCGTGAAATGAGAGGGACAAAAAAAAATAACCGCCATTACTCTCACCAGGGGTTATATTGCCACTTTGGAAGCGGCGCCGAAGAAATGGAATAATTGAAAAAAATGAATAAAGGAAAGGATACTTAGGAAAACTGGTAATACACAGTTTAACTGTGCATTTCGGGCTGTACATATTCACGGTATTTGGAAAATAAATATTTATTTTTCTTGGTGACTTCAACGCCATCCAAGTAACGAGACATGGTTTTAA